TTCCAAGTATCAACAGGAAAACAAATGATGTTGGGAAAGCTGGATATCCACATACTAAAGAATGAAACTGGACCCTCATCTTACTCAATATATAAAAATCTACCCAAAGCAGATTACAAACTTAAAACATAAGAACCAAAGGTATAAAACTTCTAAAGAAAACATTAAAAAAGCTTCATGACATTGGTCTTGACAGTGATTTCATGGATATAACAAGAAAGGCACAGACAATAAAATGAAAAATAGGCAAATAAGACTAAATCATAAAAACCTTCACTCAGCAAAGGAAACAATAAACAGAGTGAAAGGCAACCTTAAAGACTAAGAAAATATTTGCATATTATGTATCCAAGGATTTAACTTATAAGATACATATGGAACTTCTACAACAACTTACTAGCAAAAAAAACAAAATATGAATGGGAAACAGGTACATGAAATGATACTCAATAGCACTAAATCAATTGGGAAATGCAAGTCAAAACCACAAAACCATCTCTTTTCTGATTTGTGGTAAATAATATATAGAGTACTTCAAAAAGGTTATATATACATATATATATATGAAATTGAAATCTTGAGATTTGATTATTGTTTACAGCCTGTGGCTATACTCTCGAGGAATAGTGGTTTTTCTACTTACTACTTGTTAAATTCTTTATTTATTGGAAGATTAAGCTTGTGATTATAAAGTAAATTAAAAGTATGTCATCACAAAACTTTAAAAATAAGGAAGGAAGGGAAGGTGGGAACAAGGAGAGGAAAGAGGAAGGGTGTTCTTAGAACTGCATATATGAAATACATGAAATCTGTTCCCTTTATATAAATAAATTATTCAAAATTTAATAAAAACAGAAGATAACATGTGTTAGCGAGGTTGTGAAAAAATCAGAACTCTTGTACACTATTGGTAGAAATAGAAAAATGGGACAGCTGCTATGGACATAGCATGAAAGAGCCTGTAAAAATAAAAACATAACTACTATACGATACAGTAATCTTATTTACAGGTATTTATCAAAAGAATCAGGATCTCAAAGAGATACCAGCACTTTCATATTCACTGAAACACTATTCACAACAATATGCAGAAACAATCTAAATGTCCAATGAATGCTTCAAGAAAATGTGCTATATATAAATACAATGGGATTATCATTCAGCCTCAAGAAATAAGAAAAGTCTGCAATATACAACAACATGGGTGACACCTCGAGAACATTATACTCGATGAAATAAGCCAGTCACAAAAGGACACTCATACGAGGTACCTAAATAGTCAAATTCATGGAATCAAAAGGTGGAATTATTGTTGTCAGCAGTAGGGTATAGGAGGAAATAGGGAGTTGTTAATCAACAGCATAAAGAAGCAATCAAGCTGGATTTGACACTGTGGTGCAGTGGGTTAACCACCATCTGCAGTACCAGCATCCCATATGAGCCTTGACTGCTTCACTTCGATCTAGCTCCCTGCTAATGAGCCTGTGAAAAAAGCGAAGGTTGGCCCAAGTGCTTGGGGCTCTTACACCCACGTGGGAGACCTGGAAGAAGCTCCTGGCTCCTGGCTTCAGATCAGCCCAGTTCTGGCCATTTGGGGAATAAACCAATGGATGGAAGATCTCTCTCTGTCTCTCCCTCTCTCTCTCAACTCTGCCTTTCAAATGAATAAATAAATCTTAAAAGAAAAAAAAAAGAAGCAATCAAGCACAGTAGACAAGTTCTAGAATTCTGCTGTGCTACATTGTACCTAGTCAACAATACCTATATAAATTTAAAAATTTAAGGGGGCAGACCTGATATTAAGTGTTCCTACCACAGAAAAAAATTATTTTTATATGATAGAACAATAAAAGCTCTTAAATCCACTCTATTCTTACTTTTCAATTCCTACTTAAGTTTCAATGTATAGCATTTTTTTAAGATTTATTTATTCATTTGAGAAGCAGAGTTACAGACAAAAGGAGACAGAGATGGAGAGAGAGAGAGAGAGAGAGGTCTACCATCTGCTGGTTCACTCCACAAAAGGCCACAGTGGCCTGGACTGGGTCAGGCTAGAGGCAGGAGCTTTCACTGGGTCTCCTCTCTAGATGCAGGGTCCCAAGCACTTGGGCCATCTTTCACTGCTTTCCCAGGACATTAACAGGGAGCTGGAATGGAAGTTGAGCAGCTAGGACTCAAACCAGCGCCCATAAGGAATGCCGCAGCCACAGTACAGGCAGAAGCTTAACCTACTATGCCTTAGCACCAGCCCCAACATGTAGCATTTTTAAAAGAGTATAATTTAATAATTTGATTATACTCTTCAATATTAGAAAAGACAATATAGCATAACTCAAACAAAATCTAAAGTAC